AAAAAAAAAAAAAAAAGACACCAGAAGTGAGATTACAGATAAAGCACACGAGACGTCTCTATGCAAGGAAGAGCTTCCCCAATAATTCACAGATCTCCTTCTCCAGCACAACAGTTCAGGAAGACGTCAGTGCAGCTAGAAACAGCAACAACTACACAAGGCCCATTACCGGTCCCAATACTGGGATATTCATCCCGCAACAATATACAAGGATGACCCTACTGACGTTAAAGGAGACCCGAGCATAATGCGCTCCACTGCCTGACAGTCAGGATATAAAGTATCCACAGCAATGTGCACGGACATATCTGCAGCATTTCAAAGCACACCTCAAATGAAAAAAACATGGCTTCCAGTGCACAGGAGAGAGAGAAGCCCCACCCCCTTCACCGGGTGACCCATTACTAAGCCCGAGCATTGTCATATCGGGGCAGACGGCATACACCGGCCCTGTAAGTGCAAAATATATTTTCTGGGCACATCATATCCATTCATTTAAAGGAGAACTATGGAGGGGGGTGAAAATCACTCATGGGTCAGGCCCGGGGTGGGCTATGGACAGTGAGCCGCCTTGTGTCCCTTAGGCTCAGTTCACACTCCGCTCATCAATGCGACACAAGACATTAAAGGAGAACTATGAGGCGAGTGATTTTCACTCAGCCTCATAGTTAGAGCCGAGGTGCGACAATGAAACAGGTCGGCTCAGTAGATCGGGAAGTGAGAGAACGCATACCGTCGCTCGCTCACTTCTCGATCTTGTCCCTGCAGAGAGCCGCGACTGTCACTCACGGCTCCCTGCAGGGATCCCCCCCGCCCGATCCTCCAGCGCTGACTGGCGGAACCGATGGGGGAGGGGGCGGGTACAGCTGGCTCTGCCTCTAGATAGGCAGAGCCAGCTGTCAATCACGCAGCTGGGCGGATCTCGACATCGATGTCGGGTTCTGCTCCGGCGTCTCAGTGTACCGCGAGCTGTAGCTCCCTATATACTGAGCTTAGGGTGATGGGAGGACGCTAGTTTGCGTCCTCCCGTGGCCCTGAAAAGAACTATGGGGAAAAGCCCTGACCCCATAGTTCTCCTTTAAGGTGGTAATGACCTTAAAAATAAAATGCTATTTTGTAGGGAGGATCTAGAAATGTTAACTGTACTCAAGCAGCACCCTGAAATATCTACCTTGCGTTTTGGATTCCTCCTACAAACAAAATATAGCAGCGCACATCTTGTGCCTACAAAGCCCCTGCTGTGAACCCTGCACAGTTTTAACAGCCCTGCCCAGTACACTTCCATGAACTACACAACACCTCCACACTAGGTCATGGAGGTGAGAAAAATGGGGGAGGTATTCTGTTGTCTTATCACCTCCTGTCCTAGGGTGACAACGCTGCTCCCCCCAATAGATTCAGTATCGTGAGTGTTGTCACCCTAGGACAGAAACACTGAGTTAGGTACCTGGTAACTCGGTTTCCAGGAATCTTCCAGGACAGCATCTGAGAGATAGTCTCCTCCCACCTAAAACAGGAAACACATCACATACACCAAATAAAAGGGCACTTGCCCCCAGCATACCTCAGTAATTCAATAGAACCGAAGGATACTCATAAGCTTAGTCACATATATACATATTCCCTAGGGTGGGAACCATGCTGTCCTGGAAGATTCCTGGAAACTGAGTTACCAGGTACCTAACTCAGTTTTTCCCAAGTAATCTTCCAGGACAGCATCTGAGAGAATAGGCAAGAACCCATACTCACATGGTTCAGGGTGGGCCAACTGCTTGCAGGACCTTCCTACCAAAATCTTGGTCTTCCATAGCCACCATATCCATCCGGTAGTGCTTAACGAAAGTTTGGAAACTGGTCCATGTTGCAGCCCGACAGATTTGATCTGGGGTCGCCCCTGCCCTTTCAGCCACTGATGATGCCCAGGCCCTGGTAGAATGCGCCGTCACGTTCTGTGGTGGCGTCATCCCCTGAAGCCTATAAGCTTCCAAGATCGCCATTTTCATCCATCTGGCTATCGTACCCTTAGACGCCCTTAAGCCTTTTTGGCTCCCGACAACAGCAGGAACAAGTTGTTGGACTTTCTCCAACCACTGGTTCTGTCCAAATACTCTAAAGTGCATCTCCTGACATCAATTCCCATCAGCCTCTGCTCTTCCGATGTAACTGGGTTAGGGTGAAAGGAAGGGTAAACTACCTCCTGTGTCCTGTGAAACGTGGAAGCCACCTTTGGCAGGCTTCCTTCCTGTTTTCCCTGGTTGCAAACAGGTCTATATCCGGGGTCCCCCACCTGGCTCTCAGCATTAGGAACGTATGGTCGTCCAGTGCCCATTCCGATGGCCGAATGCGTTTCCTGCTCAGGAAATCGGCTAAGGAGTTCAGCGTTCCTTTCAGATGTACCGCTGTGAGGGATAACAGGTTGTGTTCCGCCCAGTCCAGAATCTCTTGGGACAGGGCCAGCAGAGTCCGCGACCTCGTGCCCCCCTGCCTGTTTATATAGGCCACTGCCGTGGCATTGTCCGACCGGACTGCCACGTGAGAGCCCCTGATTCCCTTTTCGAACTCGACAAGGGCTAGTCCGATTGCCTTCAGTTCTCGGATGTTGGAGGATTGCCGACGCCAAGCGTGATCCCACTTCCCTTGGGTTAAGTTCTCCCCCCAATGGGCGCCCCAGCCCCAGGCACTGGCGTCTGTGGTGATTGTCACTTGTTGCGGCACTCTCCACAGCCGTCCACCTACCAGATTTTTTCTCTCTAACCACCAGGTGAGAGATGCCTTTACCTGAGCCGGGACCTGGATGCACTCGTCCAGCGTCTCTTGTTCGCCGCCCCAATGCTGCAAAAGAAAAGCTTGAAGCGTTCTTGAGTGGAGCTGTGCCCAGCACACGGCCGGGATATATCCCACGATGGATAGTTCCTAGGCGGAGGCGGCCGCTGGCGGCTTGTGGCCTTTAAGAACCTCTTGATCAGGGGTTCCTCAGCCAACCTCGTCTCCAGGTACACTGACAGTGCCGATGTCTGCACTTTAAGCGTACTACATGATAAGCTCATGTCCGCCCCCCTCTGTAAAAATTCTAACACTGCCACAACGACCGGCTTATTGCTCATACTGTTAACGAGCATCCAAGAAGAGAAGGTCTTCCAGACCTTGTTGTAAATTGCGGAAGTAGTCGGTTTCCTACTATTGAGCAGAGTGGCTATGACTCTGTCCGAGAGCCCCTTGTTTAATAGGATCTCCCTTTCAGAATCCAAGCATCTATCCCCTGGGGTCCCTTTTTCGCAAAGCTGAGGAGTTGTTGCGACTGCTCTCTGATTAAAGATGCGTATCTCCATCTACCAAAGTCTATTTTTGCTAGAAACACCAAGAGGGGCAACAGGTTTCTTACTGAATAAATAGGCTCCATATGGAACCGCTTGTACCGGACCACCCTGTTCAAGGGTTTCAAATTTAGTATCAGCCTGGCACCCCCCGAGGGCTTCATTCGCACAAAGAGATGGGAGTAGCATCCCGTTCCCCTACTGGCACCGGGCAAATAACTTCCTGGTCCATTAGGTTCTGTAAGGCCAGTACCATCGTTTGGGCTTTGTCTGGGCTTTTGGACAGGAAAGTCACAAGAAAACTGGCAGGAGGAGGTTTCACCAGCCCATGCCTTGCGCAAAAGTGAGTCCGCCTTCTTATCCATGGGCTCCTTAAGAGCCCCCATGTCCTCAAAAGACAAGTCGGTCTTTTTGGACACTTTAGAAAGGGAAGCGTCTAATTTAGGGCACTTCTCCCAGACTCCGCAATCTTCTTCGCTGAAGGGGAATCTCCTCTTCAGTCGAGGAGGAAAGTGCAGCTTCCTCTCGGGAACTGCCCATTCCTCGAGGATGAGGTCCTTGAGGGATTGATGGACCGGAAACGTCCTACCCTTCTTGGACTGCAACCCCTTGTAAAGGCTGTCATGCACCGACAGTTCGGTTTGCACCTCCTTGATTCCCAAGGTTGCCCAGACCGCTTTGAGCAGTTCGTTAGTGTCTGACGCTGGGAAGAGAAATCTGGAAGCCCTGACCTCTCCTTCCTCCGCTGATTCGTCCTCCTCGGAATTGGAGAGTGTTACCGGCAGGACCGCCAGGTGAAAATAAAGGGAAGGATAAAACTAAAGCAGCCGCCACATCTAAAGACTGGTCCCGTTGCAGTAGTTCTTTCCACCTGGTCAGCCCAAAAATGTGCAGGAAGGTAAATAGCCAAACTGATTATTTCCTGATGGTTCTGCCTTTTAAGCGACCTCCCCTTGAAGGTCAGGACGTCTTTAACAACGGACTCTACGAGAGATATTCAAAGGTTACAGGAAGTTTCTGAGAGTCGATCTAGATTGCTGAATATCAGGCCGGGTTCACACCGCGTCCGATGCAGGCGGCTCGCAATGATGAGCGTCTAACGCACTGGAGTTAGTTTGCGCTGACAATAGTTTCATGTCTTGTGTCGCATTGATGAGCGGAGTGTGAACTGAACCTGCAGGACACAAGGTATCGCAGCGTGCGATTGCGGAGTCTGTGTCCAGCAAGGCGGCTTTGTCCCTAACCCACCGCGGGCCGGACCCATGAGTCCCTGGAAAAGGTGCTGCAGTGACAGATGCATGACGCTGTTCAAACCACATAGAAGGTAAGGTCACGGCACAGCAGAATCATTAAAGGATAATTCCACTTTCCCAGGCGAATTTGGTCAAATGGAATGTGCCCCCTTCAAACACAGAGCCCCCCCCCCCATTAATTCCACATACTGAAGCTCACAGTGGGAGGGTTTCAGCAACAAAGGCAGTGCTGTCAATCCAGAACAGTGGACCAGTGGACAGGTGGTGACTAACAAGATACAGTCACAATATCGATTGCCAAGTCCCCTGCAACATCTTCTCATTCACTATAGGCAAGCATGTGCAGCATACATGAGAGTAGCAACTCTGCTCTAAATTCAGGA